CCCTAAATCTTTCATCATAACTACAAATGTGCCATTTTTGGGTAAATGTTGACATTTTAAATTAAAACTTTTAAATCATCCTTAAATCTGTCATACATATTAATATTTCCTTTCCAGATACACTGTTACTCATTTACAGTCCTTCTTCAATAGACAGGAATTTTACATTACTTTTTCATTCCTCTTTGAATCACTTAAGTTTTACTTCCTCTATAGGATTTTCTCAAAAGATGATACATTTTTATTATATATGTTTTCAATATTTTATTGAATGAACTATCATTTTTATATGCAAAAAGCATCTATGAGAATGGAATTTTTAGCCTTTTCTTAAAAGGAGTATTTATTTGAAAGGTAGTTAGAGAGCGTGAGCATGTACCTCATCCTCTGGTTCAGTCCCCAAATGGTCACAGCAGCCTAGACTAGGCCAGGCCAAAGCCAGAAGCTAGGAACTCCATCCGGGTCTCCCACATGGGTCCTTGGGTCATCCCCACCACTTTCTCAGATGCATTAGCAGGGAGCTGGATTGGAAGTAGAGCAGCCAGGACTGAAACTAGCACTCTTACAGGATGCTGGTGTCAAAGGCAGCAGCTTAACCTGCTTCATCAAACTCTAGACCCTGACTTTTTTAATTAAGTCTCAGAGCCTATACAAAAATTCTGTGTTGAATTTCCACAATTATTGAAATATATAATTGATCAAAACAAATGTTACAAAGTTTCATTCAAGATTACTGTTAATGTTTACTTATGAAAATGACTCTTACTTAATGAGACAGTAGGGATTTTTTTTCTTCCAAGCATTCATATATATATATATATATATATATGGATCAGTATGACTTACTGTGTTAGTGAAACAGCATTCCTTACTTCTGTTCCTAACCTGTTGTTTCAGTATTTGGTATGTGTTGACCCCAGTAGTCTTTATGATAGCAAATTGAAAATAATAGGAGATGCGTTGTTATAACAGTGCCACTGAATTATTTTATCCCAATAACATGACCAAAAATCACTTAGTTATATGTCATCAAGAATTATTTTTAAAAATCATCAGCTGGGGCTGGCACTGTGGCATGGTGGGTTCAAGTCCTGCCTGCTCCACTTCACTCTATCTTTCTGCTAATGTGCCTGGGAAAACAGCGGTAAAATGGCCTAAGCACTTGGGCCCCTGCCAGCCATGTGGGAAGTCAGGATGGAGTTCCTGGCTCCTGGCTTTGGCCTGAAGCAGACCAGCCATTTGGGGAATTGCTGCCATTCGGGGATTGACCTTGCAGGGGGAAGATCTCTCTCTCTCCTTCCCTTTCTGTTGCTCTGCCTTTCAAATAAATAAATATTTTTTAAATGAGAGAGAAAAATTAAAATAAATACTATATATATTCTAGTATTAACTACTGTTTAGGTTTTGGAGGAAAATCTTCCTATCTATATTTATTGAGTACTTTCTATGTACCAGGTACTGTTACAGTTGAGTTACTTTACATGTATTAATTCCACTGACTTTCACACTAAATCCAAACAGTCTTCATTTTCCAGATACAGAAATATATATGGTAGGCCCTTCCCACATGGAGAGGCTTCTCCGCAGTTGTAATCAAAACAGCATGTGACAGGCAGAGTTAGAGACAGAGAGAAAGGTCTTCCTTTTTCCATTGGTTCATCCCCAAAATGGTTGCTACAGCTGGCGCGCTGCGCCGATCCAAAGCCAGGAGCCAGGTGCTTCCTCCTGGTCTCCCATGGGGTGTAGGGCCCAGGGACCTGGGCCATCCTCCACTGCCCTCCCAGGCCACAGCAGAGAACTGGACTGGAAGAGGAGCAACCAGGACAATCCGGCGCCCCAGCCAGGACTAGAACCCAGGGTGCCGGCGCTGCAGGCGGAGGATTAGTCTAGTGAGCTGCGGTGCCAGCCATAATTTTTAATTTTTTAAAAAGATTTATTTATTTGAAAATCAGAGCCACAGAAAGAGAGAGAAAGGTCTTCCATCCACTGGTTCACTCCCTAGATGGCCACAACGGCCTGGACTGGGCCAGGCGGGAAGCCTGGAGCCAGGAGCTCCCTTAGGATCTCCCATGTGGGTGGCAGGGGCCCAGGCAGTTGGGCCATCTTCTACTGCTTTTCCCAGGCCACAGCAGGGAGCTGGATCAGAAGTGAAACAGGCAGGACTCAAAACGGTGCCCATGTGGGATGCTGGCATTGCAGGCGTAGCTTGTACAACACCAGCCCTAATTTTTAGTCTTTTTTTTTTTTTTTTTTTTTTTTGACATGCAGAGTTAGACAGAGAGAGACGGACAGAGAGAAAGGTCTTCCTTCCGCTGGTTCACCCCCCAAAAGGCCGCTATGGCTGGCGCACTGTACCGATCTGAAGCCAGGAGCCAGGTGCTTCCTCCTGGTCTCCCATGCAGATGCAGGGCCCAAGGACCTGGGCCATCCTCCACTGCCTTCCCGGACCACAGCAGAGAGCTGGACTGGAAGAGGAGCAACCGGGACAGAACTGGTGTCCCAGCCAGGACTAGAACCTGGGGTGCCAGCGCCGCAGGCAGAGGATTAGCCTAGTGAGCCACGGCACCGGCCAATTTTTAGTCTTTATGAAAATGCTATTCATATAGTTTTATAAGCTTACTTTTTCCATATAAACTGTCCTATGCATAACTTAGTATTCTATTGTATACATGGTTCTTAATTATATTCAGTCATATCACAAGTTTTGGCTATTTAAGTTGTTTGCATTCTTAAATTATTATAATGTTTCCTTGGAGATTTATTTAGCAAAATTCCCACTCACCTTTTTGTCTTCCACGACCTTCTTTCTTGCTAATATTTTGGTAATCAAAAATTGGCATGTTGTTGTAATTTTCATTTTTTGATGACACACTGTTACCACATATTTTTTTCTTTACACAATTGTTCCCAAGTTTCCGTGGGCGTGAGGGCGTGTTGGTTCCGGAGCCCCTCCCCCAGGATACCAAAACTCAGGCATACACAGCCTCCCATGTTCCTTAAATCATCTCTAGATTAACAGGTAATTCCGTGTAACTGCTGTATAAACAGTTGCTACACTGTACTGTACAGTGAATAATCACAAGGGGATGTCTGTACATACTCAGACAGATGCAGTTTTTTTCCCCTCGAGTGTTTCCCTCCCTAAGTTGGTTGAATCCACAGATAGAGAATCCATGGACACAGAGGGCTAACTGTACTACATTTCCTCTTTTTTTTAAATTTTGATTTATTTTGATTTTAGTTGAAAGGCAGAAACAGAGATCTTCCATCTACTGGTTCACTCCAGGAGCCAGGAGCTTCATCTCGTTCTCCCACAGGGGTACAGAGGCCCAAGCACCTGGGCCACCTTCCACTGCTTTCTCAGGCTCAGGGACCTGGGTGGGAGCAGCCAGGACTCTACTGGCACCCATATGGGATGCTGGTATCCCAGGCAGTGGCTTAACCTGCTGTGCCACAACGTGGCCCCACATTTCCTTCTTTACCTGGTTATCTACTGTCCTTTCGGTGTGGTGGTACGCTTGGAAAACTCTCCCTACCTGATAATTATGTGGAGACTCACTGCTTCTTACACTTTGGCTATTTTAGACTTAGATTTAATTCTGTAACTCATTTGGAAATGCATGAAGAATGGTATGGTGTGAGGAGAGTAACTTTCTCCCCCCACCCCCAAATTACTTGGTTGACATAATACCAGTTACTGAATAATCCGTACTTCCCAGCTGGTTTGAAATACAACCTTTGTAAAATCCCGGCGCTTTGTTTATACTCAGGGATTTCTCAGCTCTCTTCTGTTGCATTGATCTGCTTATTCAGACTGCAGAACGATATTTATTAATGGTTCTGTAGTTTCTTTTTATTTAGTCATCCTTGTCCCCCACCCTTAAATGTAATGTCTTCCTTTCGTGTAAGTGTTGTCATCCTCTGCTTTCTACCTGCAGAGTCATTTCAGGCCAGAGAGTGCTTTGTTGCCTGTTCTGTTTTGGAATGCCAAAACAGAAAAAAAGCTGTGATGGAACTGGGGACCTCGGAGACGCCACTGCAGGGTCATCTGCATTTGGAATTGTAACCACACCTGCGTTCAGCAGATGGGGTTCTCATCTCCTCTCTTTGCTACATAGCCTGACTCCTTGATTCCAAGCAAGGGCCAGTGCAGAGCGTAAAGTCTCCCGAGCAGTCCACAGTCAGGACTGGCATGGCTGCTGTGCTGATGTGAGGCCTGTGTCATTGATGCTGGGTTTTGTTTCCCCTCCTCCAGGCAGCCTTTCCAGTAAATACATGACTCAGGGAAAAGCCTCCACGAAGAGGACCCCGCAGGAATCATGAGGGACGGGACACGCAGCATTCTGAACGGCCACTCGGGCACTCCCACTCACCGGAAAATTAGGTTCATTGCACGGGACACGGCAGCGTAGGTCAGGCTTCAGCCTCGCCTTCCAGGAAAATGTCGGATTTCTTTTTTAATTTAATGAAATTGTTAATGAGGGAAAAAATTTAATGTCTTATCTGCCACCAATCCCCATAGATTTAAGGATTTTAATAGAAAGCCATGACATATGTATTTAAGCCAGGTTAAAAGAGAAGGCTGTGACTGTGAGCTGGTATTCAGTGGATACAGTTTCATGGTTTTTAATTCTTCCAAAGGGCACTAAAAGTGGTGTGCTGAGAAATCACCCCAAGTAAATTAACCCTTCCCCACGAATCCCTTTTCTAAGAGGGGAGACTCTATTTATTGCTGTTTATGGAATCCTTGTGTGAACTGCTACTGCTGTACTTAGGGTTTCCAGACGTGATGTTACTGCTCTTGGCACAAGTGCTAACATGGACAGAAGCAGCTGAGCTGCACTGGGCCAGCAGGACCGTGGAGAGACCTCTGCCTTTTTCCCTCTCTGCTTTTAAGTAAATTGACAAAGAACGACTGTGTTTGTGAAAATGAAGTCCCGAAAGACAAGCAGTCCTGTCTGCCACCAAAAGGTTTTCAAAGGAAAAATGACTAAATAAAATGGCTTTTTACTTTTTATGACACTCAGACAGTAGGGTGGAGAGCTTTTAAGAACTCCTGAAGATCAAAGAGGCCGCCTCTGCCAGTCTCAGGTGCGGCTGGTGTCATCCTGGGTCTGACTGGAGTCCTCCTGGAACTGTCCAACTTCCCAAGCCTGTCAGAAGTAGCCCATGTCAGAACTATGCCTCCGGTTATTTATCATTTTGAAATAAAATCGCAATTTCAACCTGTGATCTTATCCACGTTATTTCCTAGTGAGACAGCCCTAAACTCCATCGGGAAAGTAAGCTAAGGAGTAAGGACAGTCGTCCTCCGCTCCCCAGTGGGCCAGCGTGCAGAGTTCCCTTTAACACGCCCCCACGCTCCCTGGGGTTTACCAATGTCGCTGAGACCGCCCGGGCTGAGGGGTGCAGCGAGGGACCGGGGAAGATGCAAATCCTCGCGCCTCTTCTTTTTATGAAAGTAACTTGAAGACTGAAGAAGAGCCGTGTGAGGATGTGGAAGTCGTGGGAGAAGAAGCAGTGGCCGGACCTTGCTCAGCTGGAAGGCAGGTTCATGAGTTGCGCAACCTGTGGCTGGACGTGACTCTGCTCAGCTGCTCTCTCGGGCTCAGGCGGGCACAGCGTGGGGCTGAGGATTCTGGTCACGTTCTCTGGCAGGACAGCAGAAGGGAGGCCCGGGAGCGGCCCCGCTGGTTCACTCGTAGGGATTAGAGTTCTGCTCGGGAGACTCCGGGCCTTCTTGTTTCTCCCTGTAATGAGAAGGAACTTTGCCTCAGTCTAGAACTGTCTCCAGTGACCTTTTGTCTGAAGCAAAGTGCATTCCCTGTATCTCCCTATTTTTTTTTCAATTTTATAAATAATATTATGTTCTTGATTTTTTTCCCTCCCTCAAACACTTCGTCTTTCCTCAGTATTCTTCCACCACATCTTTCCTTTCCTTGTGGAAGGAAAACTTCTCGAGTTCAGGCTGTGCAGGACTGGCTTTGTTTGCGCGTCATTCTGCTGCCTTGTGATTCTGTACAAATCTGGCCATTGCACTTCTGAGTTTCAGTTTACCCTCTCCTTTTCCTCTCATTCCTCGAAATTACTTTATGTTCTCATCTTTTTTTTATAGAGACCAGGTTTTCTTGTATCCTTTGAAGGATGTTAAAGGATTCCTGCATATTATTCTGAATCCCGTTTGATTCTTCCCATAGTATTGAGGGTTTTTTTGTTGTTGTTTTGTTTTTAAATCTCATACCAGATCTGTGTGACAGCGAGCAGTTTCCCAGCAGACCTGGAACCTGGATGCTGGTCACAGCCCCTTCTCAGTGGCTCAGCCGGGGCACAGGTGCCTCTCTCCACACCAAGCCCAGCTCCCAGGGTGTAGCTATTTCTCAAGGGCAGCTGAACAGGCTCCACCCATGCCCTGCTACCAACGTTCTCCCTGCTGCCGTCTCAGGAACAAATAAAAATATGAAAAAAAAATTTTTTTAATAGCACTGTCCCCGTGGTCCTCACCCACACTTTCTAAATCTCTCGCTCGGTATGAACAGCATCAACCATGAGCAGGCTTAAAAACGCCTTTTTAAAATGTCAGATAACTTGAGTTAATTTTTTATCCTGAAATGAAAATGCTTTTATTAAAAAGAAAAAAAACCTTTGCTGAGTGGGTAAAATCCTGAATAAGACTGCTCAGTGGAGTTCACAGTGTTACCAGGGGAAGCAGAATTGAGTAACATCTTGGTGGAAATCTAAGAGTCACAGCTGACAAAGCCCTCGGACACTCCCCACAGCCGCCCGGTTTCAGCACCACCTCATTTCCACGCACAGCTGCTGCTCTGAGATAAAAGCTCACACACTTCTAACAGAAGCAGGAAAACTCTAACATACCAGCTCATCTCAGGGACCTGGGCCGCTTTCAAGTGGCATTAGGTATGCCGGATCCTCTGTCAATCAAATGACACGACTTAATATTAGCTCAAGTGTAAAATGAGCTAGCCAGGGGTCTAGATTATGTCTTTTTTAATATTTATTTTATTTATTTGAAAGGCAGAGTGCCAGATCTTCCGTCCAGGTGCCCAGAATGGTCAGGGCTGGGCCGTGTCGGTGCTGAGCCAGCGGAAGCCAAGAGCCGGGTCTCCCACGCGGGTGCGGGGGCCCCAAGTCCTTGGGCCATCCTCTGCTGCTTTCCCAGGTGCGTTAGCCCAGAGCTGGGCCTGCAGCGGCGCTCCAGTATAGAATCCAGCCCCACAAATGCCCGCTGCAGGCCTACATCGTAATAATAGCCTCGTACGAACTGTACTAAAATACTTGTGTTTGGGAATCATTTATCAAAGACGTGCTGGTGCTTCTGCCCCACCCAGATCAGGTTCCTGCGGCTGGGATACCTGTTTTTGAAAAGGCAAAGCCCACCCTACCGCCAGCTCAGTGTAGTCAGTGTGCAGCCGGGGCGTGGCAAGAACACCCTCGGGCACTGTTTTCCGGTAGCAAAGACAGAATTGGGGCCTTGCCGATGGTATTATTGATTCCCCATGGAGACCCCAAGAGTGTCATCCACAGCACCCCTCCCCCAAAGCCCGCCTGCTTTCCCTTGAGATGCCACCACCGGCCCTGGGGTCCCCTCTGCCAGCCCCCACGGCACCGCGCCCCCGCAGCGGCATCTCCCCGGGGACCCCGTGTGCGCCCCCGTGCCCGGCACGCGCGGGACCGCTGCAGGATTCGCGGGCGGAATAAAGACCCCCGTCCGACACACACAGGTGCTCCGTTAGCCCGAGTCCCCGCGCGTCCCCCAGGGGCAGCACTGCGAGGCGGCCGCGCGCGGAGCGGGGTCTGTTAGCAACGTCCTGCCCCGGGGGCCCGGAACACACGAGCATGAGGTGGAATGTAGGTGGCCGGGCACCGCGGCCATTCTGCCCTTGAGAACGGCCGCTCCCGGTGCCGGCCGGGCTTCCTGCCCCGGCCCCAAGCCTCCACCGCCTGAGACTGTCGGGCCCCGGGCGCACCTCGCCCGACTGCGTCCTCGGTGGTGACGCCATTTCCCCTCGAGCCCCACCGCCCGCCCCTCGCCCGTCACTCACGCGGCCGGCCCAATGGCGGCGGCGGAGGGCGGGCCGGCGCGGGGGGCGGAGCCTGGGGCGCCGTGCGCCGGAGCTTGTGGCGTCAATCGCCTGCCCGTGTCCATGGAGAGAGGCTGAGGTGTCCAAGCTCCCGGGCCCTCGGCGAGCCCCGGTGGCCGGGGACGGCGAAGATGTCGGCTTCCTTAGTTCGCGCCACTGTCCGGGCTGTGAGCAAGAGGAAGCTGCAGCCCACCCGGGCCGCCCTTACCCTGGTGAGTGCCCGCGGCGCGCAGACGGCCCCGTGACATTGGCCCATGTCCCCAGCCGCCGGCGAGAGGAGGTCACGGCGGCAGGGCGCGGGCTGCGGACACGTCCGAGCGCCACGGCCGCGTCCGAGCACCACGGCCGCTGGGCCGCCGCCCCCGGGTGTAGGGGACTACGTTTCCCGGCAGGCCGTGCGGCGCGCCGGCCGCGTGCGGGGTCTCCTTCGCGCGGGTGCGGGGGTCAGCCGGCGTCCGGCCGCGGCCCGGGGTCGGTGGGGGGGTTGTGGGGAGAGCCAGGACTTCCGGCTGCCGGACCGGACCGCGGGTCCCCTCTTTAGCCCCGCAGGAGTTGGGGGCGCCGCTGCCGTCGCTGAGGTGCGGGCCGCGGCGCACAAAGGGTCATTCCCCGGGGTCGCGGGCGACTCAGGGGGTCCACTCAGTCCTGGGGTCTTGGGGGGAGGACGGAGGGCGCCGACGGACCCCCGGGAGTGAGGTCGCGGCGTTTTCTGGGGGGAAGGGCAGGCGGAGCCCGAGTCACGGGTTCTAACCTGGCCGAGGGTCCCGGGCCCCGCGGCGCCCCTGTCTGGTTAGCCACACTCGGTAGGGCTCCTGGTGTCCGGGGCTCCGGGAGCAGGGAGGACCTCGGTGGGGTCGCGGGTGAGGACGAGGCCCGTGGCTGGCAGAGTCAGGGAGATTTGCGTTGCCCAGCGCGTCCGCGTTTCGGGCCCTAAGGGTTCGTCCTTTGTGTCTGGAAGACACTCAGGCCCCCGTGGTCAGTCCAGGGTCTTGGGAGGTGGGGCCACCGCGCAGTCCCTGGGTCAGTCGTCTCCCGGCCTCGGTAGAAATGCAGGGTTCCTCTGGTGCTGGGATGGGGTACTGCGTTTTCATCCCCAAGTTGGGGGCGCTGCCTGTTGCTTGGAAGTGCTCCAGTCGTGCCTTCCTCCATGGCTGCGGTGGTCCAGGCCGAGTGGTCCCCACCGCCTTCCAGGGATAATAATGGGCGCTCTCGCTCAGGCCTGGCCTCCCGCCCCCCCCTGCTGTCTGCTTCGTTGCAGGCTCTCATGCCGTTGACAGGGGCTCTGATGCGCTTGTCCGAACTCACCCTCCTCAGCCATAAGGGTGGCTTTCAAAGCTCCCTCGGGAGAAGCCTGTCCCTGCTGGCTCCCAGCGTCCCCCGTGGTCCTGAGCTAGCAGTGTCGCCCTGGCCTCTGGACCCCGGTCCCAGAACTCCGGGGCCCGAGTCGCTGTTGGCCCGTAGTTTGCAAGCGCCTTAGAAACGTTTCTGACCCTTCCGAGGTGTTCCGAGGCCTGATGCGTGGACGCAGGTAAGAGCAGACCAGGAGGGAGGGGAGCTATAGGTTGGGGCAGTGGGAATCGGACATGGCGCAGCACGGAAAAAGGGCCGTGCTGTGGAGTCCGCCAGAGGTCAGGAAGCGGCTGATGACTCGGCAGCAGGGGTGGGTGCTGCAGCGCCAGACTCTGCCTTAGCTGGTGCGAATCGAGAGGGGGATGTGTGGTTTACTGGAGAGAGGGGCTTAGACTGTGCGGGGCTGGCCGCAGGAATGTTGATGCAAGCCAGGCCCCAGCACGGTGCCCTCGGACAGCTGCAGGAAATACCCAAAAAGCACGGACGCCCCTCTTCCCTGATTGCCCCTACAGATCCTGGAGTTGACAGATGGAATAAAGTTAAAAAAAAAAAAAAAAAAAAAAAACAGCCCTGCTAACGTTAATCACTACTCTGACGGTAGATGACTTCATCTCCCTGGTCCTGCAAGTCAGAGTTGGTGCATAAAGCCCAGCCAGAGTTCTGTGAGAGAGTGGTGGTACCCAGCCAGTACAGTTCTGGTGCTTAGAGAGACCCTAATTCATCGTGCATAGTGGGTGCCTTCGATCTGGACTCTGGTGGAACCTGGCTGAGGGGGCTGGCATGAGCTGTGGATTCACTGGGCTAGGACCAGAAGTCCTTTGGAACAGTGACCCATGCATGAAGATATGTAGATGAGGGCACTCCCGCAGGCCAAAGTAGACGAACCCTCTAACGCTGAGAGTGGTTTAGTCTACCAGGGAGGATGCTGTTGGTAAAATATTATGTAGTAGCTATAAATGATTTTTTTTTTTAAGTTTTGGAGTCAAAGCTTCATTCTTCGACTTACCAGCCCTATGTAAATTATTTAATCTTTGATGCCTAAAAGCACAGAATTAATAGTTAGGAATATAAAGGTAATGTATTTAAACCATGAAACGCTTAGCGAGCACTCAGTGATGGTCAGTGTGTGTGTTTATTGCCATGTATCAAATGGGAAGAATGGTCTTTAAATGGAGGCTAGGAAGTAGTATGTGTGCTTGTACACCCATGATTACCCCGCGTGATGGAGATGTTGATACAGGCACACACACACACGTGGGGATAGGGAAAAAGAAGCGGGAACCACAGCCGTGCGGACAGCCGTGTGGACAGCCAGTGCTGAGAAAGCCACGTTTGACAAAGTGTACTGTAGCTCGTACATTAACTGCTGCTCATCTGTCAGCTTTAAACAGGAAAATGCTGGATTCAGAGTGACCGTCCGTTAGTCGTTGACACACATATGAAGCGTACATAATCACAGAGTTAATTTCAGTTCTAGTTATGCTTGCTTAAACAGCCAAAGATGAAAATTTCCTGGGATCACTTTAAGGAACTGCAACGCTGAGGATGAAAAGTTTGTCCTACAAGGGATAGAAGCCATTCGGTGTCTGAGAAAGCTTTAAAAATGCATTCCTGTGAGGTAGTGATAAGACACGTTTATTTAAAGCAGTTTTTCCCATAATTTTAACAACAAACAAATACTTTCCTGTTTTAATTTTTAAGTATTTACTTATTTTTAAATTTGCCCAAAATATAAGACAACAATACTTTCTCACTTTAAAGAGCCACGTTCCTCAGATTTATGTATGAATAAACTGAAAAACATATTTCTGTTCATTTTAAGAATCTTCTAGATTTGACTTCACAAGTCAACTGTTAGGTGAATTAGAAACTCATTAATTGTGTGTAAATCACAATACGATAACTTAGAGAAGTGTGGGTTTCTTGTTTATCTAGAGAGTGCATAGGTGTCGGAAGCCTGCCCGACCCTGCAGCAGTGTGGCTCAGCTGAAGGTGTTACTGCTGTTTTTCAGATTGGTTTTCCCTAAGCAGTGCAAGCAGACAAAGTGCAAAGGGGGATCTTAGTTTCTGCCTGTTACTGACATACAGGCAGTACTGTTTAGCACTAGAATTTTTTTAGGAGTCCCCTCTCTTCCCTGTTCAGTCATTCTCATTTGTTCTGAAAATCAGATCAGGGACTGGGAAGGTTTAAGAAGCATCCTTTTCTCTCGCGTGAGCAGCTAACTGGGTTACCCGTCATTCGTAATACTCGCCCGACAGAGTGTGTGTGTGGGTTTTGCCTGACGAGGGAAGATTTAGATGCACTTTGGGCTCTGTCTGTGGTAGCAGCTGCCAGGCACAGAGTCTTGTTGAGTGCCCTTCAAGCAGGTGAGCTTGTTCTTCGTGAGCTGCTTCCTTCCCCATGTTAAACGCTTTCCATTAAGCATTAAGAAGAAAATAACATTATTTTTCAAATAAATTAGATAGCTTAGAAAACTGGAGATAAAAGGACTTAGCCAAGTGACAAAGCGTGTGAACTGTGTTGTGTGTTGCGATCCTGTACCTTTGATCTACCCACAGCAAACCAAGGCTAAGCCTAGACAACCCATCAGATTTTAGTCCCAACAAATACTTTCCCATCGCTTTGCCTTTTATTTTTCCTTAACTTATCAAAAATCTTTTTTATTTGACAGTAAGTGGTTTAATTTCTTCAGCATGTAACAAACGTTATGACCATGAAATTTACAAATGGAAGAAAGCTGGGGTTTACCACCAGACACTTAGAAGGATAAACAAGCACTTTAAGGAAATGCGTTTTACGGTTTCTGTAACTCTGAGATTGCTGTTCTGTGATCTAATGAAAATAGGAACCGGAACTCTGTTCTTCAGCATGTCCTCCTCCTGTCCTGCATGCTTGTGTGTTGAGGGCCGTGGGAAAAGGCCTGTAGAGACCTGGTAGTAACGGTTTGTTCCGTCTTGTCTTTATAGTGACAGACAACAGGAAATACATACACACCCCATATAATCACTGACAAGAAAGATTCACAAAACAGTTACTTTTACTAGGTGCACTGCATGGCATTCTCTTGTGTTTTGTATTTTGTAGGATGCCAGTCTTGGCTCTGTAAACTGGTTTTATGTCCCTACTTAATTGGGTCCGACTATTAGAACGTCCCCATCTGGCTGGGCTCGCGCCCCGACGGGAGGCAACAACACATGGCGGGGCCAGGCCGTCATCCACTGTTGTTTTTTTTTGTTTGTTTGTTTGTTTTTGTTTTTGTTTTTGTTTTTTTTTTTTTTTTGACAAGCAGGTGGACAGTGAGAGACAGAGACAGAGAGAAAGGTCTTCCTTTTGCCATTGGTTCACCCTCCAATGGCCGCCGCGGCCGGCGCACCGCGCTGATCCAATGGCAGGAGCCAGGTACTTCTGCTGGTCTCCCATGGGGTACAGGGCCCAAGGACTTGGGCCATCCTCCACTGCACTCCCTGGCCACAGCAGAGAGCTGGCCTGGAAGAGGGGCAACCGGGACAGAATCCGGTGCCCCAACTGGGACTAGAACCCGGTGTGCCGGCGCCGCAAGGCAGAGGATTAGCCTAGTGAGCCGCGGCGCCGGCCTCATCCACTGGTTCTGTCCCCGTAGCACAGGTTGGCGTTCTGGCCACAGGTTATGGCCAGATGAGGTAATAATAGCCAGATTTGGGACTGCACGCACCAGTAAAATACTGATTTTAGAAACCCCCGGATCAGCTCAGTATTAGTCGCTTGAGTGAACAAGGTGGGGCTGGCGTACTCTCTCCATGACCACATTCTTACACCACTGTGCCAGTCGCCGTGCTGGCCTGGTCCTGAGTGCTTTTCTTGAATTCCGATCTTTAATCCGAGAGGAGAGACGGTGGTCCCTACTGCACCAGCAAGGGACTCGGCCTCAGAAAAGCCACTCAACGTGACGGCCCTCGGGACGCAGCTGCCAAGTGGACGGACAGTGCTCTGAAACGGACTCCTTCCCAGGAAAAGTGGAGGTAGTCACACTGGACCTGTGCACAGTGACCGTGAGGACCCCGGAGCCAAGTTACACACAGCCAAGGAACTCCTGGCTTAGCTCTGTTTATCTGAGT